GATTTCTATTCTCAGTATTATTTCTATTAACACAGTGCCCCTTTTTTAGAAAGCAACTAGTATCTTGAGAAAGAAACCCAGCCAGTCTTTGGATTTGAGTTCATGCATCCATTTATTCCAATACACATATTTAGTGAGTATCTGTTCAGGGTGGGGTACTCAACAACAAGTAAAGATCTGAGGTCAGACAAGATCAACATTGACCTTATTCTCACAGAGCTTACAGTCCAGCAGGGGAGGAATTTTTTTTAATTGAAATACAGTTGATTTACAATGTTGTGTTAGTTTCTGGTGTATAGCATAGACATTGAGTTATACATATATATGTGTGTATATATACACATATATATATGTTCTCTTCATTATTCTTTTGCATTATAGATTATTACAAGCTATTGAATATAGTTCCCTGTGCTCTACAGTAGGACCTTGTTGTTTATTCTGTATATAGTACTTTGTACCTACTAATCCCAACCTCCTAATTTATCCCTCCCCATCTTTCTCCTTTGGTTTGTTTTCTATGTCTGTGAGTCTATTTCTATTTTGTAAATAAGTTCATTTGTGTCTTTTTTAAAGATTCTACATATAAGTGATATCATAAGACATTTGGATTTCTTTTAATGGCTGCATAGTATTCCATTGTTTGTGTGTGTGCGGCACGCACGCACGTGTGTGTATGTATATCTCACAACTTCTTTATCTAATCGTCCAGCAGGGGAGGAAATTAAAATCATTTCCAAGGCCCAGAGCAAAGGCAGCTTAGGGAAGTCTTCTCAGAGGGGGTTTCTGCCAAGTAGAGAGCAGTGATGGAGAGACTGAGCTACGTACAGGGATGGAGAAAGAAATGTGATAAATGAAATATGAAATGGTGCTTTGCAAATGGTGTGACAGTTGATGTGTCAGATCGTGGGGTTTTTAAACAGACATCCCTCTGCAGCTCTCCAATCTCTCTCCTGGGTCTTCCTTCCACCAAATTCTCCATCTCTACTCCTTTCTCAGAACAACCTCTCTTTTGTTTAGTGTAACTCTTGTTTTATGGATGTTTATTCTTTTGCTAAATTATTACGACACTCTTGGGTTGTGCTGGAGACCAGAGTCCTTTCTAGATGTAGAACTGGCCGGATTATTGTACTGATTACTTGGGAAGAGAGAGCTCAGACCAGATCCTGGAGCTGAGACGGATGTAAGGGGGTTGTAGGGGAATTTGGTTTCTCTTGATCTTGATTCTGAACAATGAAATCCACATAGAAGTCAGGCAAGGGGTGGTTATAATAGTGTTTCCCAAACTTTTTGGATTGTGGTCCGTAGTAAGAAATAGATTAACATAGCAACTCAGAATACACACAAATTACAGAAATGGTAGGTTCTCAAAGTTTATGTTTTGGGAAAAATTACATGTGATACATTTTGATACTTTGGATTTTGGATTTTGATTAGTGTTTCTCAGCGTGAGAATCCATCAGTGGGTCGCAAAATCAATTCAGTGGGTCGAGATGAGCAGCTTAAAATTGAAATACAAGTATCCGTTCGGAGACAGAAACAGTGAAGAAGGCACCCCTACACTGTTGTCAGTTTACAGGAGCCAGAGTTTGCAGAGCCAGCACTTCCCAAGTCCCTGGTTCTTGCACGGTTACATGAAACTCAATCCAGAGCAGTGGTTGTGGCTGCAGATTCTGGAATATGGGCGCAAATCTTGACTCTGCTGCTCAGAGGCTGTGAGACACGGGACATAGACTCCTGCACTCTGCCTGCCTCCTGTGCAAACGGGAGACAAGGATTAAATGAATTAATGCAGTGTCTGGTGCATATAAACACTCAACCAATATTAGCCCTTATATTTCAATCTCTTTTATTTTCTCCTATTTGCTAATAGAACAAAGGTAAGAGTTATGAGCTGAAGGACCCTGGAAGCCAGCTTGCTAGGGGCAGCAGGGACCAACGTGAAAGGGGAAACTGAAACCAAGAGGGACCAGACTGAAGGTCCTTAGTCCTTCCAGTGCTAACCCTTGAATGTCTGGGCATTTCTTGTGTCTTTTAGTTTTTTTGCTTGTTTTGGTTTTGGTTTCTTTAAAAAAGCAGTTTCCCTTACAGTTCCTTTCTCTAATATCAACACACACTTGACCCTACCTTCTGGCTCCTTCTCTAGATCAGATTCCAGTCTGTTACAGAAAATTGACTGAATCTGATTATTTCCCACCAAATTCCTACTTGATATTCCCTGAGGTTCCTCTCCTGGTTTCGGGTACCCTTCCTGCTTGTCAGTCTTCTGTTGGCTGTATTACTTCTTTCCTGTATGTAGCAATACAGGAGGGTCTGGGTTTTATTTTGTTTGAAAATCCTAGGGTGTCAAGAGAAAAAAATACTAAATAACAATATGAGAAGAAAAGAATGTATCCTGTCACATACCACCTCACAGAGGCAAAAGCATTTGGTATTAAAAAACTTTTAATGCCTTTGGTGGTATCCTTCTTAACCATTTCCCTTCCATAAAATAACAAAACATTCACACGTGGGACACTCCCATAGGTGTATCTAGAATCTCATTAAAAAGAATTCTAATTTTGGGGATGACATACATAAAATATTTTATCAGCATGTACATAAAGAAGTAGCAATTTAAAGGTTTCTTAAAATTGTTGCTTTGCAAGGAAAAATATAAATAGTGCTCTTTTTCAATATGTAGATCTTTAAAAAAGCACTAATTTTCTGTAACCCTGCTCCACAGAACACAAACATTATTTTTGTTAAAATTGTTACAGACTTTACAAATTTCTTACATTTGATAATGACCATTAAAACCCTGTATGATATATTAAGATAAAATGTACAAATGATATCCAAATCAGAAATGCTTTTCAACTTAAGATAATTTTTCCTGAATAATACACGTTTATTTTTAACCAGCCCAGATATCAAGAGTTAAAGGTTAACATTCGTCATCACTCTTTCCTATGAAAATACTACAGTATTTTCAAGAAGAGTGTAAACAAACCATTGTTTCATTGTTTTATTTACTCTGGAGCTGCCTGGCAAGATTTCATGCTTTACCTAACTATTTGTCTTAATTCCAAGTAAGTTTTCAGAAGTGAGCCTTCCTCTCTTCAATACTTCCTCCTTAGGGTCTATTTCCAAGGCCTATTTTTCCCGTTCTTTATTCTTCCCCAAGACATGTGTGTGAGCCACTTCTTACCGTAACGTTTGTTTTGTTTTCTGGCTGTAAGAGTGATTTAAGACTCCTACAAGCCAGAAAAAAACCTGTTTAACATTCTGCTGTGGGCTCTTCGAGCCTTCCTTCCCCTCTCCTTCTACTGAGCCATCTTTTAACCAGAACTGTCACTTGTGGGAACACAGAACAAGCATGAAAAGGCGCAGATCCGTTGGGCACAGGAAGGTGTCGTCACGTGAGCGGGAGGTGGTGGAAAGTCTACACGAGTAGAAGCGTTTGTATCTGTTTTCACAGATCAGCGTTTGTTAAACTTCACAGAGTGGCCTTTAAGTAGCCTCACTGAGCCAAAGCGGAAAGTCCAGTAAGAGAAGGACAGGCGAAAACCTCCAGGA